AACAGGATACATTAGTTGAAATTGATAAATAACTTTAAAAATCCTAAAATTTGACCCTCTGACCCTGATCTATGAGAAAAAGTAAGTGATCTTTTTTTTTTCTTCTAAGTTCCTCCTGATCCAAATTTTAAAAGTTTAAAAGTTTGAAATTTCACTATGAGACAAAATAACAGTGGAATAGGACTTAAATTGGAGACACATTTAAATGAAGAAGGAAGATTTGTGATCTGTGAGGCCTTAAAACTGATTAATCGTTGGCAAAGCAGCTTTTGGACAGGTACATTGTAAGTAATCGATTGTATTTTAGAGAACAGTAACTGATTTTTTTTTCTATTAAAATGAAAGAAATTACAATGCAGAGTTTGCTCTGTTGGTTAAAATTGGGCTAGCTAGAATGCTAGCATAGCACCAAAGTTATGTCGGTCTGTAAAATAAAAGATAAAAGGTAACTGTGGAAAAGGAAAGTTGAAAAATAGGGGACTTTATCATTTATGTATTTGAGCTAAGGGTTAGTGTATGCTTCATTTCAGACTATTGTTTAAGTTTAAGTTAGCATTAGCATTGCAGACGTTGCCTTTTTTTTCATATTTCAGGTGTATCCCGGTTCGAACGTCACAGATTAGACTAAACGAGTGATTCGGCATGTCCTGTCGAGTTTTATAAAGACTAAGAATTAGAAAAGGTTAGATTGGTCACGTCAAACAGACAATATTGCAAATTTATAATTAGATACAATTTTTTACTTCTAATCTTCTTGGTATAAATCCAGCATCATTCCCATTGGGGTCAGGGAGTTTGTGCCTCATCCTCCAGGCTGCACAACTTCAAATTACTACTCTGTGGTTTCCCCAGGTAGTCATGCTACAGACGCAGCTCAAAATTCATCCCACAGTGTCCTGGTCAGGCAAAATAGCCCATTTTGAGGTACCCCTCCGTGTGTGGGACAATTGAGGTGTAGTTCTTGGCATACTATTGGCAGCGAATTCAGTTTCTAAATCAGTTGGTGTCTCTGTAGCAGGAACACACAAACCAAGGAGGTTTACTTGATAGTAGGAGTAGTTACACGAGGACAAGAGGGTAAGGACATCAAACAACACCAGTGTCTCCGTCCAGCTCGTCATTAGCCTGTGAGAGTTCAGGTTTAGTAGTTGTTGCTCTAATTACTACAACAGTATTGAGTATTACTTTTGTTGTAATATGCTTACCTCTTCAAACTACGCATTCCAATCCAAGACTCTGAACTTCAGGTGAATCTTTCTCTCCAAGGTTCACTACTGCACCACAATCTGAAAAGGCTTATGGGTGGCTATGTTTTGAACCACATTTGCTTGATTATGCAACAAGAGGTTCAAACTCTTCATCAGACGACTCCTCCATCACTGAGCTCCAGTCATTTGATCACGATACGATATCATATCGATACAGTGGATTGTGTTTAGATGTTTGCTGATATCTCAAATTCAGTCATAATACCATTTTGAATTCTGGTCCACTGATCAATATGAAACCATTTTACCAGTGATGGGACACAATCGTGATGATTTTCCCATTTAACACGTTTGGTGAGGAGCAGATGGAAAACAGCATGTCAGCGGAAACTTCCAAATAAATCAACTTTCAAAATAAAAGTACATTTGATAAATAGTTATGCAGTTGATTTTTGCATTTTGATTTGATGACCATAAAATCCATGTGTTGTTACTCTCCTACTAAAATGTAATTCCCTATAATTGTCTTTCAAAACTTTAACTTTATTTACAAGAAACAACAAATAAAAGCATCAAATCAAGCTTAAGACCCATTGCTGAATTTGTGTCGCGGTCTCTGACTCTTTGGTTTTAGGATGTTTATCTTGGATTTAGCATTTGTTTCTGATTTCCTACGCTGAATTTTGTTTTTATCTGGCTTATTTCATTCTGGGGATTTTTCTTTTACCATTTCTGGGGGATTGAGTTTGGGTCCAGTGTTGATCTGTGAAGAGGATTTAGTTATTTTGGTCTTCCTTTCTAGTTTCCCATTGCTGCTCTGGGTTTATCTCCCTCAGAACATTTAAAAGGTAATCTAACATTTGTGGCACTGTTGCCTTCCTCTGAACTACTTACTGTGTCCTCCACCTGCCCGCGAGCCTCCAGGGCCGGCAGCTGGCGCAACACTTCCGCCATCCCTGCAGCACTTTTTGTTTCTGCAGTGCTGAAACCTTAAGTGATCTGACCTTTGCGAGTTCAGTTTTACAGACACTGAGCTGCAGCTCTGCGTGGTCGGAGCCACAACACAAAGTTTAGCAGGTCAGAGGAGATCTGGCATTCGATCACACCAAACGGTTCTTCTGAGGTTTGACTAAAACCTTCCTACAGTAACTCCCCTCCACTTTACAGGGTTTAGGTGTAAAGCTCCAGCAGTGGATGATCAGTAACCTTTCAAGGAAGGTTAGGAATTTAATTTTCCAGGTATTTTTTCTTTTGAACTTGCAACCTGCTTCTCATCACTTTAAACTAGATAAACAAAATCCTGAGGAAATAATTATAATAGGTCATATTTATGACTCAGAGCTGCTCAGGAACAAGGATTGTTTCTGTTTATGTGTAATTTAATACATAAATCATGTGTTCACTCAGTCTTCATTAAACACCACTTGTGAACATTGAACACGGCTACCGTTCTTTTATAATTTCATAATTCTATTTTCTTCTTTCTGGCATGTTTGTCACGGGAGGCATTTCTGTTTTTCAAAGCAGACTAAAACTCAGCTCAGCAGCCAGCTGTCTCCAGGCCACACACACGTGTAACTGTTAAATGTGTAGGTATGGGGGTGCCGCAGCAGCGTGAGCATGCTGGAATCAGCCACTGCTCTTTGTGTTCCTTCTGTCTCCTCCTTTGTTCAGACGTTCCTTCAAATCCGCCGCCACGGTCGTCTCCCGTCACCTACGCTTGGTGACATTACACCTGGCAGCCAGGACTGTGAAAAATCTCTTATTTCACATTGTGAATGGGTTATTGTGATGGTGAATTTAGATGATTAATGACAGCATCAAAGGTTTTTAGGCCAAAATGTGTAACACTGAGCACAGATCAGGCACAGGGTCCCTTAAGGTGGTCTGGACTGTAAAATACAAGCTGATATTTCTGTAGCTCATCCAGATATTTCACTACATGTTCCGACTATAATCCCAGTCCTAGCGTTTCCTGAAGGGATGCATATCACCTGCTGACTTCAGGAATTTGATCAATGTTTTAATTCTGTTTGGGAATGACTGTTAACCAGAAATAACTCAGATCTGTAGTGAACTGGTGGCTTCGTAATGACGATTGGCTGTGGCAGCAACCTGAAAGTGGTTTAACTAAAGATTAACCTGATGTGGATGCATGCATGTACTGAAACTCTAATTTCCCTCTGGAAATACATATATATATATATATATATATATATATATATATATATATATATATATATATATATATACGTATATATATATATACATATATAAATAAATAAATATATATATATATATATATATATATATATATATATATATATACTGTATATATATATACACACACATGGACGTAATTTTCACTTTAAAAGTGGGGGGGACACGGAGTGGGGAGGGGGGTGAATCTTTACAGTATGCTCTAATGGGAAACAGGCTTCAACACAAACGGTTGTTTTCTGCTTGGTCCTAGAGCTCAACCAGTGTCAATTTAATATAGCGTAATATTGTTTTTGGATGGTAAAAAGTGCAGGGGTCAAACCTTGACTTTGGAAAAAGTGGGGGGGGACAAGTCCCCCCCCCCCCCCCCCCCCCCCCCAAATTACGTCCATGTACACACACACACACACACACAAACCCAGATCACACCAGTTGAACTCAAGGGTTACACTGACACCTTGAGGTCAAACACTCAAACAGCAGGCCTATCTGGTTACAGAGGACCGGCATCATAAACAGTCTTTCTATTCTGCTGTGTAGTGCAGAATTATAAGAACAAAAGTCAGAGTGCCAAAGAGAAATGTTCATCAGAACCAAGACCAGCAGCTGATGATGATCTGGCATCACATCCGTGTTTAAGAGGTGGAAGATGATGCGGGCACTGAACCACAGTTCTGAATACAGAAATGCTGAAACGTGTGAGGAGATGTAAACATGACTTTTTTATTGGGGATCTAGAAGACTTTTTCCCTCAATGGAAAATGTGGAGAGAAAATCTGATGTGAAACATGATGGGTGAGGAGAGACGACACCTGGTGTGGACGTTAACCCCTGAGTGTCTCCCGGGTTAATCCTGAGCAGGACAGATGAGGCTCAGCCGGTTTAACAGGAGGATTAGAAGCTGTTCATCGTATCATTCAGCCTGACTGTCTGAGAGTCGGTCAGTGTAACACCATCCAACAGGTAGCAGCAAGTGGGCGGGGACATGCTTCTGCTCTGTTTATGGGATGTAAAGACATGAATTTAGGGACTTCTGCTTTGATTCATAGCAACTGTACGTTTAGAGTCATTTATTAAACATTTTTTCTTTAAAAACTTTAATTCTTCACTATGAACTTTATTCTGTTATTTTTACGCAAGGTACAACATTAATGCAGAATTAATGCAAGTGTGTGTGTGTGTGTGTGTGTGTGTGTGTGTGTGTGTGTGTGTGTGTGTGTGTGTGTGTGTGTGTGTGTGTGTGTGTGTGTGTGTGTGTGTGTGTGTGTGTGTGTGTGTGTGTGTGTGTGTGTGTGTGTGTGTGTGTGTGTGTGTGTGTGTGTGTGTGTGTGTGTTAAATTGCTGAGCCAGTTAGTGACCGTGTAAACACTTTGATTTTTAGGTCGTATAAACATCACGTTTAAACCTGCAGGTGGGAGGGCCAAACAAACATATATTTATAATAAAACGGATGTTTGAACATCATTTTATTCTTTGTATGCATGGTTATTGAGTTTTGAGGGGCTGAGGTGCTTTGACCTAACCTCCTTGAGGCTGAGCTGCAAACTGGGTCTGCTGCAGGATACACTGATAATAAAGGACGTGTCTAATTTTTAGAACTAATAAAAGGCAACGTGATGTTCAACCAGCCAATTACAAAGCTCCTAGGGGCTTTTCCTGCTCAGCACATGATCCACCTGCTGCTCTACACCCCCACAGAAGACTCAGACCGGCAGACTTCCTGCTTCTTTGCTTCATTCTAACAAGTTTTTCCATTTAAAGATTCTGGACATCAGCTTCAAGGCAGCTTTGGAGTTCTACACATCCTGGAGAAAAGAAAAATAAAAGACTGACGGCTGGAGCTTTATTCCCAGACTCACCCTAACGAACAGTAGAGCACCTCAGGGAGCCATTTGTAGGATTTCATCTGCTAACAGACTCTGCTGCTCAGGTGAGAACAAACATCAGCTGTGCTGTGGATGCATCAGCACCCCCATTAGAGAAGCTGTTGTAAAACGTTATGGTAACAAAAGAGTGTTTTGTGATAAAAGTTAAAACATTATGTATTCATGCAAAATAAAAATGATATTTGCATTGTTGACAAACACCTGAAGCCTAGGGGCTGTTTCTCACTGACTTATCTATGGGTGTCTGATAATCATCTTCCTGTGTCACATGCTTCATGCACGCAGCCCATGTAAACACGCAGCAGCTGATGCAGCGTGGTCATGTGCACAAATCACTCAAAACCAGTGTGATCAGAATGCATCTGACCAATTTTACTATTCTCTCTCAGCTGGGTGAGGCAAGGTTTTTGTGAGATGGTTATTCTTTTTAAGTGGGCTGAAAATCCAACAAGATCATGCTGGTGTTGCTGCAGCTGTGGTGCAGGACGTTGCTGCTGATGCCAGATTGGAACATACTGGGGTGTGTGTCCTGTTCCTGCAGCTTTTTTCCACCACCTGTTTCCTGACTAATCCATTTACCGCAAACAGGCATCGCCACACGGCCTGCTCAGAATCCTCTTTAAACGTTCAGCTACTGACCTCATTTGCTCTGAAAAGGTGGCGAGTTTGCAACCATGGGGGGTCTCAGTGCGATTGACTCTATTCACATGAAAGCCACTCTGAACCTTTTTTTTTCATTTATTATTAAAATAAAAAAAACAATACTAACAAATAAATTGAGGCTTCTCAAACCAAGAAAATGAAAAGGGAACAGGAAGAAGAAAACTTATGTTATCTGCCCCTTGACATTTTTACAATGAAATAACAATAATTATAAATGAGCCTATACAAAGTAATTGCTCGACTGGTTAGCTGACTTGAGTTCAATTTGTAAAGAAGAAAGAGAAAATTAATAGTAATAATAAAAATTCAAAAAGCAAAAGGATTTTTGCACATATACCTATTCATACATATATTCCGGAACTGCGCTGCTCTGGGTGGCTGCATGTTGGAGTAGCTCTGTTGACTATATGAAAGTTTTGCCTTTTCTTGGACATTTTTTCTTCTGGTTTCTTGGGAGGATTGGTATTTTTTTTTTTTTTTTGTTGGAAATTTTACTTTTCTGTTTCTGGTGCTGTGAAGCTTGGAGGATTTTTACTGCTATTTTTTCACTTTTTGAGCATTTGTTATGATGTATGACCATGGTAACAAGCTGGTTTACAATCGGGAGCAGCTGATTAACATTGGGAAGGCTGAAATAATACCTCAACTGAAGCCACAAATCCCAGATGAGCTAAAACGCAAGAAGCGTGGGTGCAAAGCGGGAGCAAAATGGAGACGGAGAAAGAGGAAATTCAAACCATTTCTTCCATCGATCATAATGGGCAATGTGAGATCACTGGCCAACAAGATGGATGAACTCCTAGCCCTTTCAAGGACTCAGCCAGAGTATCAGCAGTGTAGTGTTATGTGTTTCAGTGAGACGTGGCTGCAGGACTATATCCCCGATTCCAGCGTCTCTCTGCCAGGATTCCTGACTGTACGAGAAGACAGAGATCTGAAGAGGAGTGGGAAAAGAAAAGGAGAGGGAGTGGCAGTGCTTGTCAACAACAGATGGTGCCATCCAGGTCATGTTTCAGTGAAATGTCGTCTCTGCAGCCCAGATGTTGAACCCTTGGCAGTAAGTTGTCGCCCATATTATTTGCCAAGAGAGTTCACCAGTGTTGTCTTGGCAACCGTTTATATTCCACCTTCAGCCATTGCTGAAAATGCATGTGATGCCATCAGTTCCGTTGTCGCTAAGCTACAAACCCAGCACCCCAATGCATTTGTTGCTATATCTGGTGATTTTAGTCATGCCTCACTCTCTGCTACACTTCCAACATTTCATCAGTTTGTCAGCTGCTTCACCAGAGAAAACAAGACAGTGGATTTGTGTTATGCAAATGTAAAGAATGCATACATGTCCAAAACAAGACCTCCTCTGGGACAATCGGATCACAATCTTGTTTTTCTCTGCTCAGAATACAAACCACTTTTTCAGAGGCAACCTGTGACAAGAAGAACTGTGAGAAAATGGTCACAGGATGCTGAAGAAGCCCTGGAGAGTTGTTTTGAGACCACAGATTGGATGACTCTCTGCCAAGGATATGAAGAGGACCTCAATGCCATGACTGGATGTGTCACTGACTATATAAACTTCTGTGTGGACAACATCATACCCACCAGAACAGTGAGATGCTTCGCTAATAACAAACCCTGGATCACCAGTGATCTGAAGAATCTGCTAAATGAGAAAAAAAGAGCCTTCAAGGAGGGACACAGGGAATTATTAAGGAGTATGCAGAAGCAACTGAAGATCAAGATCAGAGACAGAAAGGAGGCATACAGGAAGAAGCTGGAGAACAAACTACAGAGGAACAATATCAGAGATGTCTGGTCAGGGATGAAGAAGATCATAGGCTTCAAGCAGAGGAAGGATTGCACAGATGGCAGCCTGGACACAGCCAATGAAATGAAAAAGTTCTTCAATAGGTTCAGTTCAGGAACAAACCCAGCCTCCTCCTTACCTGTCCCCAAGCAATCAGACATCCCATCCTCCTCTGATCCAACATTTTCCTGTCACATGCCAGCTCTTTTGTCCTCTAACGCAGTCATGGACTCTTCTGGTTCTATAAATCTTTCTTCAACCAAGTCAGAAGATGCTGCTGCCCCATTTATCTCCCCCTCCCACCTATCTGTCTCTAGAAGTCAGGTGAAGAGGCAGCTGGAGAGACTGAACAGGAACAAGGCTGCAGGTCCAGATGGTGTCAGCCCCAGAGTACTGAAGGCCTGTGCAGAGCAGCTCTGTGGGATTCTGCAGCACCTCTTCAACCTCAGCCTGGCCCAGGAGAAGGTTTCAGTCCTGTGGAAGACATCCTGCCTTGTTCCATTTCCAAAGAAAACTCGCCCATCAGTCAATGACGACTACAGACCGGTTGCCCTGACATCCCACATTATGAAGGTCCTTGAGAGACTCCTGTTGGTCCATCTGAATAAGTAAACTAGAACATATCAGGACCCGCTGCAGTTTGCTTATCGCCATGGAGTTGGAGTTGAAGATGCCATCATCCAGCTGCTTCAACCAATCCACTGTCATCTGGACAAAGCAGGCAGCACTGTGAGGGTAATGTTCTTTGATTTCTCCTGTGCATTTAACACAATTCAGCCTGATGTACTTTGCCAGAAACTCCAGAAGACACAGGTGGGGGCCTCAACTATCGCCTGAATTAAAGACTACCTGACAAACAGACCACAGTTTGAGGCAGAAGAACTGCACATCAAACCAGGCGATCAGTAACATTGGAGCACCACAGGGGACTGCACTCGCACCATTCCTTTTCACCCTGTACACCTCAGACTTCCAGTACAAATCAGATACCTGTCATCTACAGAAATACTCAGATGACTCTGCAGTTGTCGGGTGTATCAGAGATGGACAGGAAGCTGAGTACAGAGAGCTGGTGGAGCGCTTTGTGGCATGGTGTGGAAACAACCATCTGACCTTGAATGTGAACAAAACAAAGGAGA